TGTGTGAGGACGGTGAGATTTGGGAATTTTCTCATTTTATTAATAACAATTAGCATAAAAATTTTATATTAAAATGTCGATCATTTCTCCGATTCATTCGCGAATCAGCAATTAAAGTAAAAAATTTTGCCATTTAAGAATAATGAATTTTTTTTTCTATGTATTATTCCTAATTGGTTGAACCTCTGCTAACAGAAAATAATCTTGATCTCCTTGGTGTAATATTCAAGCCCAAACTTGGAGAAGATGAAATTTTCATAAAGGAATTGAAACAAATAGGCCGAATTACACCACCATCACCAACCAAGTTTTTTGCAGACTGCTGGATGACACCAGCAACCAAAAAATATCGTTTCTAGAAAAGTGTCAAGCTTTTATGACAAATTCAAAACAATTCTACCTACATACTGAAAATCTGCAAGACTAAAAAATATAATCGCTCTTGTTAAAAAATTTCAATTTCTTATTTTGATAATAATATTGTATATTAAAATAATTAGCATTCTTATCTTTTATGGATTTCAAGCGTGTAAAGGAAACTAAAGTCAACTCTCCCCAAGTGTACATCATCGGGGCTGATCCTGAGTGTGCATTTAGGAAGAGTTGACTGTATTTTGTTTGAAAGTTTTCTTTTTGGATATTATTGATTTATCAGATAATTTTTTCCTATTGTCAAGTAATATTTTCAATAAAAATTTCTTTTTGGCTTGTTTTTGCAAGGAATTGAAACATTTAATCACTGCACCCCAAGTTTTTAGTCCTCTTTGAATTTCAAATTTTTTGATTACCCTATATGTTCCAAATTCATTGCATAATATTTACATATATCATCTTAATAAAATTTAAACAACAAAAATATCAGGCTTTTGTGTTATTTTTAAATAATAAATTGTAACAACAACAATTTTGTCAAATAAAATTATATTTTTACCTCCAACATGTAAATCAAACACATAGTCAAAGCAAATATATGATTATTATGATGACAGTAAATTATAATTACAAAGATTTCAATAGGCAGTAAATCAATTTAGTTGTGTTTTACTTTTGTTTTGCATTTAGCCAATAATGTGAATGTGGCTTCATTTCACCTATTGAAACAAAGATTTACGATTAAAGTAGGACGTTTTATTATTTTTAACTAGTGTTTAGCTTCTAAACGAGAGTTTCGTAGTTATGCAAAAGTCAAAAGGTTTCGCCGTAAGTCGAAACTAGTTTTGATGTTTGACTATTTTACTTTTGATTTAGTTTTGACATAACTTTTAATTTTAGTTTTGACTTTCGCCTCTTCGAAATAGTTTGGCGACCAACACTAATTTTAAATTAAAAACCGATTCAAGATTCTGGCTAAAATGCATATCGATCTTTTCCATTTATCACAAATTACGAATTAAGAGTGATCTACATTTTAACCTATTTTAACCGTGTAACAGGTCCCAAATCCTGGTACATTATTATTATTATTATTATTAGCAAACTAATGTGCGGGTAATTTTACGTATAATTTACAAAAATAATAAAATAAATTATAAAACAGTTGATAAATTTTGTTATGTTTTATTTATAAATTTTATTAAACATATCGGTTTTTCAGAATACTAATGTTCAAAAGCTAACTCAAAATCAAATAAATCAATCGAAGGCCATTTAAATTTACCATAAATGATCATTTAAAATTCCCGAATTCACTTAATTACGAATTTGAGATTTTGTTGAGAAAAAAATTTGCTTTTGAAATTGGAGTAACTAAAATAATTCGAAGTGGCAGTGTAAGATTTATATTTAGTTACCGTAGCAATTTTATGATAATCAATATCTATATGCTGTTCAAGTGTTTGCCTTTCGGTATGAATAAAAAGATATCTTATTATTATATTAATATTTGAAAAAGTTCATTCGGGAAAAGAAAAAAAATTTATTATTTATGATCCGCACACTAAGCCACAAAATTTATGATTTCATGTGTCCAAAGTAAAAAATTTAAAATTACATTGTGCGAAATAAATTATTATGTCTCGCACATCTAAACACTGACGAGTATTATCAATAATCCTTTGGTGAATTAATCATCTAATAGAGATAAACCAATCATCAATGAGTGAATGGGAATATAAGTTAAATTATTAATTATCAATCAAATTTTTTAGACAAATTAAATAACTAAATAATGAATCCTGTTGTTGTTATTATTGTTGAAATATATATCAAGTTTTTAAATTAATATAAGCCAATAATAATATTCTTAAATGCAATATCATAAAAATGTAAGGAAATGAATCAAAGCAAATAACCACATTATCTAAAATAATTGATTTAAATGCTCATTTACTTTTCACTTTCGTCGTTACCTTTTCGATAGCAAAAGGTATGGCTAAAAATTTAGTTATTCTTTCCCTTGCCAACTCATCTTTAAGATAATCTCATAAGGTCAAGAACCGACCTGAAATTGTGTTCCACTAAAACTTTTAATGAAAGTTGCTGCATCATATCAATGTGTGCGAGTTGAGAATAATTAATTGAATTAAATCAATCAATTGATAATGATATTGGTCATAAATACTTTAATTATTATGCACATAAATAATGTATTTTGAAAATTTAGTAACACAATATTTTAAGTCCTATGTAGATAGCATACAAGGCAAGCCCTTACATTGTAAGCGACTCTTGTCATTTTTGCAATTTTACATTAGATTCTATGTATTAAATTATTATAATTATAATTATCATCTAAAATCCCTTTTTCTGATGTGAAAATTTGAATTTTTAATATTTATGTTGAAATTTATGTTCATGAGAAATTCAAATCAGCCAATCAGAATTCACCCCATATGGGAAAAAGGACTGTTCTCATTAATTCAAATTCAAATTAAAAATATTTCAGTTCTAAATAACATTTTAATTCCATTTTGAAAATGTGCAAAGGATACTATTCTATTAAAAAGATTAGATATAAAAGTTTTTCACGATAGAATGATGAAGTACATGAAGACTCATTCATTATTATTGTAGACCAAGAACAATAAAATTTAGACATGAAATGTTTTTGGATTAATGCTCGAAATGAAGCCTCTATCTATACTTTTCCATATCAATTTAATTCTTAATGTGGATTTCCAGATTAACATTGAAAAACTGTGGCTATCATGGAAATAAAAGAAACAGGCGAATTAGTTTGTTGGAAAGATGACAATTATTTTATTAAAGCAGATAAAAAGTTTCACTTCAAGATTGATGAAAATTTAATATTAAGCAGTCAAAAATTCTGAATAAGCCGGCCAATAAAAAAAAGAAATCGAAATTTTGAATTTTCATATTAATATTAATATGCACATATACAAAGATACCCAGACTTTGAAAAGCTAATAACTCCACAAAATTCTACGTACGATAATTAAGAATGTAGTGTGGCTAGGGCCTTAAATTTTAACTGTTTACTTTTTTTTTTATATATACCTTTCCTGTTTTGGGAAGTTATTAGCTTTCAAAGATCGTCAATTTTGCACCATCATTACTGCGCCTCGTTTTATTTAAAAAAATTGACCAATTAATCTTGATCAGTCTCTAATGTAATGGGAAAGACGTGACAATGTATAATGAATGATCATAATAGAAAATTCAAATTTTAGATGGGAGTTCGTATAAATCGTCAATAATGTGGATGAATGAAGTTAACACTCAAGATATATAAGATGAGAAATCAATATTTAAATCAATCATACATACAAGTTAGATAGCAGGGAGAAGATACTTTTGTTGGACTTCATTTTGAAATTTTGATAATTAAATTAAAATTTTATTATTCCTAAAAAAAAACAATAACAGATCTTGAAACTTTGTAAATCTATTATTAATAATAATTATTTATAGTAAGTGTAAGTTTATGTGATAAATCACATTCATGATTCTATATAATTTAATAAAGTGTTGAAAATATTGTTCAAACAAAAAACAGGTCTGATTCCTTCTTTTATATATATATATATATATTTATATTCATCATTTATATATATTACAGAATAAAAAGAATAAAAAAAAATACATGAAAAAATTAAATGATTCATTTACATATATAACTATAATAAATATAAGATCGAGGATATATATACATATAAAATCATCATAATAACAACACATCAACAGATTTTTTTTTTTTTTTTGAAAATACTTAGGATTTATTTTTAGAAAATATGCCAGTATATCCACCTTTCTTTTTCTCTGTAACTGGAGCATGATCGCTACCATTACCACTCTCGACAGATTTATCATATCCTTTAGGATGTGAAGGTCCAAAATGATGATTTCTATGAAATTTATATTGTATCAATGATCCAGCAATAAATAGCGCAATCAATCCACCCAACATCAAATAAACATCCCGACTTGTGGTATAAGGAGTACCATCCAAGAATGCTCTAACTGATAGGCGGAATCCTGTATTGGCAAACATATCAACACCAAGAATCATCGCATAAGCACCAATAAATGATGTACCCAAAATAATTATCACATCCTCAAATATACACGCCAAAATAAGTCCCGTAATGGCAAATGCTACAATAAACACAATTCTAGCGATATCATTCTTAATCAATCCACCATCTCCAAACGCAAGTATAAAGTTTGCCAACGCCAAACCAGAAACCAATCCCAATAACCAAATAGCAACTGATGCGCAACATATTAACAGCATCCCAACTATGAATCCAATAGCCAAAGAAACTAATAAAATTATTAACGTATTAGTTGACGGTTCTGACGTGTAGCCTGACGGTGGCTCTGCCCTGACAAGAATAAGGAAAGCAACATATGCTAATTAATAAAAAAAAAAATATTATGATTAGTATAAATTATTTCCCAATTATAATTTTTATATCAATATTTAAAAACACTTACATCCAATAATAGATCCCAAAATAAACAAGGTGAGATTATAAAGTTTACGACCAAAGAAACAATAACAGAAACCTATAACAAGCAAAATGACGCCAACTACTATTGACTGAGCCATTGAGAGTTGTTGTACATTGTTTGATAAGTCCACAACTGGATTATCAGTTGTTATTGTAGTTGGGGATGGTGCTGTTATATCAGTTGGAGTTACATCTTGTCCATTAACGAAACCAATGAGATTAAACATTAAGAGCAATAATGAGATCATTATTGTCATTGTATTTTTTTTTGTAAATTTCTTTTTCATTATTTTTTAAAGTTGGTTTTATTTTTATTTCTGTGTGAAAAGAATTTTTTGAGAACAAATGGGAAAAAATTAAATATCATTTCAAAGGGAAAAGCCTCACTCTTATATATAATTTCAATAAAATCCAAGCCATGCTTTAATAAATAAACTAAGCCGTAT